TAAAAATATCATCCTTGGGTTTTCCATGATCCAGAAACAGCTTTTGAAGACAAAGCTAATTCACCACAACTGGCCCAAAGTTTATACATCAATCTCTTCATAAAGTTATCACCCATAAAGGACTGTTAATACTTTTGTCTTGTTCTTGCTGTCAGAACATATACATATTTTGAGCATTCCTCTACCTTTGCTTCCCTGCCATTTCATGAAAACAACTGAGAATGTGGAAGAACTAAAAATCCATTAGCAGCATTAAACCCAATAGCTGATAACTTCCATAACTTTTGTTTTAACATTTCAAACACGATTTACAAACAGTAATAAAACCCCATTACACCATGTGGAAACAGGAAGAGTTGCCCCCATTTTACAGATGGGAAACATATACAAATTAAGGCCTACATTTTTCAGACTACGAGCCACATGTAACAGGTGTTTGAAGGAACCTAGAGAACCTTCAGGTGGAGTTCTGCTTATGGAACAAGACTATTCTGTATACCCACTTCCTGATGCATTTCCCATGCCTCTTCTCCAAAGGGGTTGGGAGACCTCCAGGATTACTGGGGTTGCCAGCTCTGGGCTGGAAAATATTTGGGGGTGGAGCCTGAGGAAGGCAGGGTTTGGGATGGGGAGGAATTTCAAGGGAGTATAATGCTGCAGAGTTGACTTTCCAATGTGGCCATTTTCTCTAGGTGAATTGATCTCTGTCACCTGAAGATCAGTTGTAATCCCAGGAGATCTTCAGTCACAACCTGGAGGTTGGCAACCCGAAGGATTATCATGGGGTGTAGTGCAGAGCATGCAGTAGGTTGAGAAACTCTGCAGAACTTCAGATTACCCCCACCCCCATAGAAGTGCTGTTTGCTCCTGTTAAGGCAAGGGGGGATTGTTTGGATCATAGTCACTGCAAAGTGCTTGACCTGAAAATGTAAGCGTTGGATGCCATTTATCTTAACAGCAGCAATTTTTATTGGTCTGCTAAACACTCAGAGCAGGCACCAGAGTTTAAGATAACCATTTTTTAAACAATATCAGCCCAAACATTTTGCCAAGGCCACACAGACAATATAAGAATAGAACTATGTCTAGTACCACGTGTTCTTACTTTCAGACTCTAGGGTCATACCGTTATTAATCCACTGAAATAGCACTGTTTATGGTAAGAAATGTCTATTCAACTGTAACAGATATGTTAGGATTGTTTTCTTGAACCCATTAGAACTCTTATTTAACTGGATTAAGTTGCACTCAGCTAATGTTCTGTGACTGAAGAGGGGGAGGGTGACTTTACCTAACCTCCCCGCCACCGCTAGGATTTTCAGCTCTTGGTTGGGAAATATTTGGACATTTTGGAGGTGGAGCCTGAGGAGGGCGGGGCTTGAGGAGGGGAGGGACTTCAGTGGGGTATAATGCCATACAGTCCATCTTCCAAAGTGGCCATTTTCTCCAGATGAACTGATCTCTGTCAATTGGAGATGAGTTGAAATCCCAGGACATCAACCACCGCCTGGAGATTGGCAACTCTGCTTACTAAAAACCCTCAACCAGTACAGGGATCCTGCGATCCCTGTATCTGTTTTTGGACTGCAGAGTGCTGCTGGGGAGCAATCCACTTTGGCAAGGTGACAAGATCCATGTCATTAGGCTTTTTTTAATGTAAAAAGAATGCATAGATACAGGATCATTCAAGTTCATACTGGACAACATGAAGGACTACACTTGTTTATTTTATGTTTATCAATGTCTGGGTAAGCAAAACTTCAATTCTGGTTGTTAGTGTTCTAAAGAGTGCATTCAGCTTGTACAAACACATTCACTTTAACAGATCAAGTTTTATATTTATGTAAGAAAGATAGTTCAGCACTCTTGATCACAATCAAATCGACGTATTTTGGCCAGTAAAGCTGAATCACTATTATTAGAGCCTGTGAAAATCTGAAAGGTGTTCCATATAGAAATGGGGGTCATATTTTCTTTGTGCCATGGATAACTTGTACTGTATTGTTGTTCCACTGCCTATCTGGAGCTTGAGTATATGGAAACACACACTCTACCACTGTCCCTTATTTACGAGACATGGCCTAGCACCAATACCTGGTAAACATTATGGTTGCCTCAGTCTTGCATTTGAAAAGGTGTTAAGGAATTCCTTTCAAAGTTTACTACTGTGTTCTTACCAAAGTTCTCCTAGTTTTAGCCCCCCTCCTAAGTCAGATTTCTGAGTGGAGTGTGGACTAGTCTTGATTACAGAAGAGACACAAAATGCCACTGTAGTGCTTTCCTTTCGTCCTATGATGACAGCCTGTTTAGGCGGAGTGCCTGCTTCAGAAGCTGGCACTGGACAAAATGCTACCGTAAACAAAAATGGGCTGAAAATAGCCTCCAGCAGGGACTGAGTGGGGAGTGCATGCTGGGGATTTAAGGCAGTAGCCCTTGATACATAAAACAAGGTGTTCCCTATTTTCTTCTGCAAGATGGAGTGCATGGAAAGTAAGACTGCTTAATTAGAATTCTTTTGGAATTGGGTTAGATATGCTCATCCTCCAGAGGGGAGATGTGAATGCCTAGACAAAACAGAGTGGATAGCTAAACAGAGGCTGTGATCACACAAGCAGTTTGGCCCGACACAGCCACCCCTCTGCTCCGGCCCAAATGGGCGCAGTCACACAGCCACATCTGTCAGGCATTCCCTGGGCATACTCACCCCGTCCAAGGACAACTTGGAGCCAGGTTAAAAAGGCACCACATCATAAGTGGTGTTGTTGGTTCCGTACACATTCATTGCTCGCGGCCGGATGACTGAACACGGTAGAGTATGCGCAGAATGGATGGGCGGTCTGAACCTGCAGATCCGTTCCCACCACTAGGAAATTTTTTGGAATTTTTGCCTATATGTGCATCTGTGCGCATGAGCACACATGCATGTGCATGCATTTTGAAAAATGACCGGACAGCATGCTCCATGGCTGAGGTGCTGCAGTAATGTGGGTGCTTGACCACAGGTTGTCCACATGGGTAACCTGCAGCAGGGTGTGCTATGCCCTGCAACAGTTTAAACAAGTACAATTAGAGGTGGTGCCATATCATGCCATGACGCCAGTGTGACCACAGCCAGAGTCTTTATTTTATTCTTTCTCAAAGTCCACTGCTGCCATACTGTACACAAAAAAAGAAATCCAGTTCGCCGCGCCGCGCGCTTCTTCGTTGCGCGCAGGCATGTGTTGTGATCGACGCCTCTCCGTAACCACGGAAGCTCCACGGTACCTCCACAGAACCTCCACAGGAGGTATGATCACTTTACTGCGTGTTAGTTTGCCCCGGGGCAAACAGCCACACTTCTCCCCCGCAGTTTCCTGCGCGTGTGACCGGGGCCTTTGCATTGCAATGTGGTAATGATATTGGTGAATTCATACCACTCAACAATAAAGCAGAACTCAGATTAAATTTCTGGCACAGCAAGTGCCCCAAATATACAAAGTGTGTGAAAATCTAGACAAAGTTTAGCACACTTTGTGCATCGATAGCCCCAATACTGCTCATGAATGACCTAACCTGGGGAGATTCCAGTGTTACAAAATGGCTGCCCCTGTTTAGACACAGGGATATATGCCAAATAATTGTCCTTTTTCTTATATTTAGCAATTCTACTGTGCCTCTGAGGTGAACCACGTCCTGAGAGTGGCTATGACGCAGGCCATCAGCTTATAATTACATATGTGTTTTAATTATCCCAGCTCCACTGTTATCGTGCATCCTGCATTTACTAACTGGTTTTATGTTAATAACTTTTTCAGATACCTTCCCAATCTGCTAAATATACCTAGAAGATGAGTTTTCTAGACAGAAAAGCTATAATAATGAGTGGGAAAGTCAATGATTAACCCAATAAAACTTAACTGGAACTCAAATAGAGTCTCTGCTCCAAAGGTGCTGTTGTATAAAACAGAGTTATTTCCTAGGTGATTCATATGATCAAGTTCTGCTTTCTGTTAGGTTTGTGCAACGTGTTAATAAAGTGGCCACAGGTCTTACTGTTTCATAGTGATTTATGTTTTTCTAAGGATCTGTATTATTTCTGTATTATACTTATGGCGACCCTATGAATGAATGATCTCTATAACATCCCACCATTAACAGCCTTGCTCAAGTCTTGTAAATTGAGGGCCACGGCTTCCTTGATTGAGTCAATCTATCTCATGTTGGGTCTTCCTTTTCCCCTGCTGCCTTCAGCTTTCCCTAACATTACTGTCTTCTCCAGTGAGTCTTGTGTTATTTGCATACATTATAAATTCTGATCTGTGTTGCCATTTATTATTTTTGCATCCTATACCCTATGGCATCCTTTCTTCAGTTTTGTTGATTTTACAAAAAAAACCCTCCCAAATTATAAAAATGTCACTTTTTTGGTACGACATTCATTATATACAGTAAACTGATTGCTCATGAATCCTTTCAGCTGAGCATCCCTCTGGTTACCACTGGCACCAGATAAAAGTTAATATTCTTCCTCTGTTGCCGTGAAGGACCAGTACAAGCACATCAACTTTGTAGAACAAATGATATAACCTTTCACAACGCAAAGTTTCATAAGGCATTTAACATCGTCACTTTCAAGCAAACATTACGTGACGTAACCGACGGCAAAGCCCAGTGGCCCCCAGACCTTGGAGTTTAGCTTTGTAATGCTTTTCATGACTCTGATTTTCCCCAAGAGTATCATTTCTTGGTAATAATGAAAGTTAATGTCCTAATGAGCTCCTCTGTTGTTCAGCTGAATGATTAAAAAATTGAGGGGGAAAGTGCGAACATGCTTTAAGCAATTTAAAAAGTGTGGTTTTCCCCCTGACAGGTGGGCTTTTAACCAAGCATCCAAAACCTCTCACTTCACTTCACTGACAGCTAGGGAAGAGGAATGCATCTTTTTAGTCTGATACAAATGTGTGAAGTACAAAAGTCTAGAACCTTACAAGGCCTGAGGGAACAGCAAGTCTCTCTTGGCTTTAGGCACCCAAGGTCATGTTGCGTAGCAGCCATTGCTGAGATCGGCTTTCGTTGCAGTCCTTCATGGTAGGAACCATTTTGTCTTCCTCAGACGGCTCGTCAAGACACTGGTTACTGTTCACATGCCTCAAGGTCAGTCTCTTAAAAAAAGGCGAAAGAGATGGTTTTTAGTTTCAAATAGTTCATACACTTCTCAAGACAGGAGTGCAATGTCCACTTCAGCATCGCTAGACAGACTCATCCCTACATCATTTAGGTTTCTTTCTGATATTACCTTGTCAGTACAGGAAAAAGATAGATTGCAGCAGCTTCCATACCATAAATGTAACCTAAGGAGGGGGTCCTGTAATTTATCAAAGCACAGACAGGTCAAGTACCATCAGATGACTTATGTATGGGCACATAAAAGAGGCGTATATGACTATTCAGCACAACACTTTCCAGCATTGTGGTAAAAGTAGCAAGGTCACAAACCATGCTAAAATTTAATATTGCAGGTGGACTGCAGTGACAACTGTGGCACCTCTTGCACTGTTCCAATCCCCAGAATTAAAACACAGATGACAAAGTAAGCCTGTTACTCATGAAAATCTCCAGAGAAGGAAAATGTCAAGTTCTCTTCGTAGAGTACTTTATAGAGTACTTTATTTAAAATGTTTAATGGCCTCGGTCACACGGGCCGGATATCACCGGGGGGGGGGGCGTGGCTGTTTGCCCCGCAGCGAAATAATGCGTGACTGCGCGATCAGGCATCCCCTCGCGGTCCCGTGGTTAAGGGGGGAGGTGTCGATCACACGACGTGCCAAAGAAGCGGCGCGGCACGGCAAACGGGGTTGTGGGGGTTTTTTTGTAACCTGAAATATGTGCATGCCCCGTTGGGTGCTTGTGCGCATCCCTGGAGACTTCAGGAAAAAAAACCTTTTCGCAATGGGGCATGGGCGGGCACCGGATGCCACTGGAAACGCGATCAGATGCCCGCCCTTGCCTCGCAGTTTCCAGAAACTAGTACCTCCGAGGTACTAGTTTTTTACTGCGCGTCTTTGGCAGGAAGCCTCGGGTGAGACACGGGAGCTCTACGCTTCCCAGATGTGGTGGTGAGATCGCACCCGGAAAATCCGCCTGTCTTCCGTCCCTCCATGTGACCGGGGCCATAGCTTGCTTTTGTCCCCAAATGGACTACTAGTGGCTCACAACATTTTTTTAAAAAAATAACAATAAATAGACTAAAACCAGAAGCAGGGACATTCAAAAGCTGTCATAAATCAGACTTGCCAAGTACAGTCACCTTCCTAACATTTTCAGAATGGTTGTTTCAGAACAGTGGAGCTACCCATGTGAAAGCTCAAGTTTGGGCAAGCAGTGACAGTCCTTTAAGTATGTGGGTCCAAAAAGCAGGAACCACCACCTTGAACTGAATTCAGAAACAAATAGGAAGCCAAAACAAAACATGTCAAAATAGTGCAAAGCAGCTAGTTTCAGTAACAGCTGAGCTAATGCAGTTTACCAACTGACCTTTCTTCAAGGGCAGCCCCATACAGAACATGTAACATTAATCTAGTCCTGATGTTCCTGCAGCGTGGATGTTAAATTGGTTGAGTCTAACGGTGGGTATAACAGCCATACTAAATGAAGGACTGCCTTGCTGTAGCCACAAACCATAATTTCTGATCCGCTTCCCTCTGCACCTTTTCTCTGCTCTTGCCACCTGCTGGTCTTCCTTCCTAGATTAAATACTCCCCATTACTTACAACTTGCTTAAAATGAGCTCTAAATGTTTTACTGTAGTAAAGCTGCAAGACCTTAAACAGGATAGACCAGAGAAATATCTGTTTAAAATAAAAGGCTGTAATTATGATGGTGTACTGGCTACTAGTAACTTGTCATAATTCTGGAACGCAACATTATTCTGGGTGTAAATGCTTCAAGGATTTTACCGCATTCTTTTTATTTATTATCCACGTGGGACAGTCTTGACGCTCTGAGCAGCTTACATGCCTGCAGCCCCAGCATGTTTGAAATGTAAATGATGTTCAACTTTTCTGACACAGAATGCATTAGAATATTGGATTAAGCTGATTATCAGATGGATTCATGCACTCCTCCTGAAAAGTTGAAACACCACTTATAAAGTACCCCATAATCTTTAGCTCTAAAACAAACTTAGTTTTACTAGCCATTTAGGATTTTTATTGGCCAGCCCTGCATCAATATTCCCATTGGACAGCAAGGATTATTTTGCTGGTTTACAACTTTTTGATAATGGTGAAGATTTCTAGATGCTGATCTTTTTTCAAAGCACTTTTGAAAGGTTACAGTCACACTGGACATTACCTGCTTCAGTACCCAATATACACACCGGGATCCTTCCAATAATCGTTGTTATTCTCATGTCATCACAGAATTGGCCAGCTGAGCAGCCTTCCATTGAACTGTGCTATTTAAAGAAGCTAGACTGAAATGCCGTTTGTCATGCTTTGTAAATGTTTTCCAAGTAACCTTTTATTATTAAGCCAATACACCTCCTGGACCTTATAGAATGGAGGGCCTTTTTCGGGCATGATAACTTTGCCTTTATAATCTAGCCATTAATATCCTCCGGTATAGATAATCCTGTTTTCGTCATGGACTCCCCTGAACATTCCAACACGCTCCAAAATCAGTTCACTCTCTGATCTGTCATTCAGAGGGTCTCCCTATCCACTGGCTGCTTTGCCTGAGTCCTGCCTCCAACATTCTAAATAGTTTGCTTTTCCTCCCCCTCCCCACAGCCAGTCAGAACACAGAGGTCATTTGCATATGTGGCCTCACTAGCCTTTCCCTCTAACATTCTAAACAGTTTGCTGTTGATGTTCTGAGGTAAAATAAATTTCCCCTTAGTGTCTGTTGGGGGAAACCATGGTTGCAAATCTCCAGGTGAGGGCTAAAGAGCACTCAGAATTACAACTGCTTTCCAGATGGAAGAGATCAGTTCCCCTGGAGAAAATGGTGGATTCTGTGTCCTTATATCCCGCTGAGATGGCCCCTGTATGACAGCCAATGTGATGTAGCAGTCAGGGCTTCAGCTATTAAAACTGATGTCCAGATGACCAAGATCAGTTCTCTTGGAGACAATGGTTGCTTTGGGCAGTAGATTCTATGGCATTATACCCTGCTGAGGTCCCTCCCCACCCCAAACCCTGCCCTCCCCAGGCTCTACCCCTCAAATCTACAGGTATTTCCCAACCCAGAGTTGGTAACCATGTAATCGGCTATGGTACCACTTTCAAGACCCTTGGAACCCAGAAAACATGGCACAGGAGGAGGTGCTTTTCTACCTTAGCTGCCACTGCATAACACCCCCCTCCCCCTCAAAAAATAAGTCAGAGGTGGAGAGAACCATATCTGTTAACATGAGGCTGTCCTCCCATTCTAACCACTTGGGGCAGCAAAATGACTTGAGACAGCCCTGCCTTATCACTAAGCAGAAGGAAAGAAACTTGACTTGCCTCCCACCATTTTCCGCTTCCCTCTGGCGCCCCACCAGCCACAGTCGGGACACTCATCTGGAGCTTCCTTCTAGATCTCGTTGTATTTCTTCCCACAACGGGCATTACTCCTAGTACTACTATAATTTTTATTATAGCATAGATTTCATTGGTCACTGTCTATACAATTTCCAGGTTAGGAAGTGATCTTATTTATTTTAAATAGATAAGGTAGTGGGAAGAGAAGCATTTCTGGGATTTTTGTGTCAGGATGCCTTGATATACTGGGTCACTGCATATCTTGCTAATAACATCAGTTCCTTGGCAATTCTTGTAAATTGCTTCTCCAAATAGGTGAGAAAATGTGGAATCTTTACCATCTGTCCCAAATGAAATACTCTCTGGAGTAGGGTGGCAAATATGAAGAAAGGTTTAATTTTCAATTTGAATACGTGTTGGGCATGGAAGCAATCATCCCAGGCAGCTCATGCATTCTGTCGATGTGTGCACTGCATGCGGGCTTTCTTCGGTAGTAATCAATGCAGAAGAAAATGCTTACTATGGCAACCAATGTATCCAAGGATGTCAGTTCTATTTCAGAAAGCATTGCTTAATAAAATGCTGAAAAACTTCAACAGCGTGGTGTATTTTACACTGCTCTGCTACCTTTCACTTTGGAAATGGACAGCATGCATTTATAAATCACAGCTCTTTTAGACTGTCATCGTGCATTTACATCCTGCCCAGTGATACAGTGCTGAAGATCGGAAAACATTTCATGGTGGTGAAGGGGGAAAAAAAATCAACAGTGACTCAATATATGCAACAAATGTCATCTATGCTTTGTAAAATTACCCTGCAGTCATTCTTTGTGACCCACCAAGCCAAACATAACCCATTGGTACCCTATTGCAACCCACCATGAGCTTAATAACCTTTTTTTGTGGGGGGCTGCCTGCCAACAACTGCAAAAATGGGAGGAGGGGAAAGAATATTGCTCATCTGTCAGGCTGGTGGGTTACAGGGAGTTTAATGGATCAAAGTTTGTACAGATCTTTGTAGGGAATTCCTATTCTTTGAATGATTTCATTGTGTCCTGGACTGGTTATCATCCCAGAACTCTGGAATTACAACTCAGTGGGATACTAAAATAAATAAATAAATCTATGAGAAGACTATTGCAAATTAAAACAAGATTTACCCAATGTTTCAAAAGACATGGAATCAGGGAGTTTAGATTCCAGATGCAATGCTTGGAAAATTCCAGCTCTACTCAACTCAACTGTGGAAGAATGTTAGCCAAATGTTTTATGATTCATTCATGTATATGTGTGTTTGTGTTAAGTGCCATCACGTCACTTCTGACTTTTGGTGACCCTATGAAATCATGTCCTCCAAAACATCCTATCGCTAACAGCTTGTTCAGGTCTTGCAAACTGAGGGCCGTGCCTCCAACTTTTCTTAGTATTATTGTTTTTTTCCCAGTGACTCTTGTCTTCTCATAATGCGACGCAAGTACAATAGCTTCAGTTTGGTCATTTTTGCTTTGATGGAGAGTTCAGGCTTGATTTGCTCTAGAACCCAGTTATTTGTCTTTGTGGTGGTCTATGGTATCTGTAAAACTCTCCTCCAACACCACGTTTCAAAGGAATCAACCTTTCTTCCTGTCAGCTTTC